AGAAGGGGACGAAGGCGGAATGTGAGTGGTGAAGACGGTGAAGGCCACCAGCAGCCTTCCATACCTATTCCACTGTTATCTGATGGGCAGCCCAGACAGGCGCTTTTCCTGGCTCTTACTAGATTGTCTTCACTGTTTGGAGCAGTTGTGTGAAAGGAGGCCTACCAGGAGCAGACAAAGCCTGTTACACCTTGCACTGCACTTTGCCTCCATAATTCTGGCAGAGGAGAGAATTTGAGCCTTATGTGTTATACTTACTGTAATCCCCAAGAGAGAAACGGGGTCTCTAACTGGTCCTACATGGTTCTCAATCATGTTTGCCCATTAAAATCACCTGGGGAGTTTCTATAAAATCACAGGAACTTAGGCCTCACTCCAACTAACCGCTCTCTTCATTTAAAAGGCAATCAAAAAAGTTCTCCAAGGTTAAGAAAATCTGTAGCTGAATCTAATGAAGGCTCAAGAATTCCAGGTGGACCAGGTACAGTTCTTCTAACTGAAATGTGGGCAGAGGCCCACTCAGCAAATTCAGGGTGAGGGAGCACAGATAATATGTAAATGTGGCTGTACAGGCATGGCTGTATTCTACTGCAATTTTACGTACAAAAATACGCAGGGCAGGTTTGGGAGTTTGCCAACCCTTGTTCTACAGGAACACAGCTTCTATAGATAGAGCTCAGTGACATTTAATGTGTGTCAAAGAAGAATGACATAGTAAAAGACTGATATGGATTTAATGACAAATATTCCATAGTGGGTGCTAAACACCAGAATGCTGCCCAAGGAACCATCATTAAATAAAACAACCGGAAAATAAGGTAATTCTCACGAATACAAGCACACACACGAAACCTGTTACTTTTAGGGTCATTAAATTATTCACTATTTTAACAAACAGCTGTAAAATAACATTACAATGAAGAAGAATGTGCACAAACTTCAGAAACACAGTTTAGATTGTCTATGAACACAGGTCCTTAATTTGTATTTTTTCACATATGTACAGTCTCTTGACTATAAAGAGACCACATGGCTCAAGGGGTTAACTTCTCATTTTCTCCTTCCAACTCTGAGCTCAAGATTTAATCAAAACCATTTCGCCTATTTAAACTGCTCCAGGTTTTGCTTAGCAAAGGGCGGCAGCGGAAGCTTTCTCTCGACCAAACTCTCCAGGAAACAAATAATACACGTGCTTCCACCATTGTTAATGGGTTGGTGGAAAGAGTCCTTTAACGTTTTCAAGGGTGAACCGCAGTTAACAGGGTTTGCTGAAGAAATATTATTATTCTAAAACGAGATAGAAGTAACAACCTCCTGAATGCATTTAACCCCACTTAATGCAGATAAGTTCCCTGAAGAATTGTAGGAAAAAAATGAATCACATTTTAAATGCACCAATAGAGTTGGGTGTTGGTAGCTGAATTGTTTTCTTCTGCTAAGAATTTGCTCATAGAAGGGATATCAACGTAGTGGCTGACTCTCTTATCCATGGTAATAGAAATAATGAGAGAGGTAAACGAAGTCCAAAGATTCCCACTGCCACTAAACTATTTTACATTAGCTTCACTCTCCACTCCCTGTTGAACCCATTCTCTAAAGCTGCTGATATGTCGTATATTTGATGCAGACAAGACTGGGCATAAATATAATGGCAGCAAAAAAAAAAAAGCGAAGAATCAATCCATGAATAATCAAAAGTTGGATAAGATTTCATAGGCACAGACTTGAGAGAACTTAAAACAGCTGGAAGAGGTAGATGTCCGGGGGAAAAAACCCACAAAGCAGTAAGATTACCTACAAATTGGCTATACCATTTTCAGGTCGGTCTAATATGCTTCGTATTCAGATTACAAGTCAGAATTCAAAACAGACACTGGCTTTGCTTACATTACTCCTGACTAAAAGAAAACGAGAATTAGTGACTTTCAAAACTGTCTATAGTTTGAAAATCTATTTGCATTTGTGAATGACAATAAATTAAGAGGGCAATATCGACAGACATTATACAAGCCCAGGATTATCTGTATTTTTAACTGTTTTTATAACCACAAAAACATGCTTTCCTATAGTCCCCAAAGAGGTTCTTTACTAGAATACAACTGATCAAGTATAAATTACAAGCATCCACAGAAACTTTGCTAAAACTGTAAAAACAATCTCATAGCCTCCCTCCCCCACTTCAACTGTGTCCAGTAGTTTGTGAAGATGCTTCCATGAAATGTGCACGGTAACAATCACTAGTGAAAACAATACTGCTTTCCACAACTCTAACTTCTAAAGGCTCACCTAGGGCAGGGGTGTTCTGTATAAGTAACTGAAATCTATACAAGCCATCTAACTACAGCCCGTACTAAAAATGGAACATAGCTAGGATACCCTAATTAGCCGACAAAGACCAGCTTTGTCAGTAAGGACATGTTCGGCCCTTCTAGGCTAGCCTTAAGTTTTTCATCAAGCATAAGAATTTTCAGTGTCCTTATTATAAAAATCATGACAGGCAAGTCTTCCTAGCAGGTGAGCTGAAGAATGCAAAAGGTCAGGCTACAATGATTCACACTGTCCTCAGACTCCCTTCAGGACAGCCTGCACGCTCCAGTTCCCAGGCCTTCCCTAAGACAGGGGTGGTAACACTGATCTAACTCACAATGATGTGAGAAACAACTAACAATTATTAAAAATCATAAAGCACTTTGCAAATATCAAAGTGCTATTTTGGCATCTCTATAACAACCAGAAAACATTCATTGCTTGTGCTATTTGGCAATTTTGCATTTACACCTCTCCCTGACTGGGATCTCCTGTGTAAAGTGTTGAGATTTCTATTGTGCCTCCACGTGCAAGAAAAAGACATTCTTACTTCGATTAAGTCCTTCATCAATATGCATGGAGGTGGGCGTTAGTGGAGGTCACTAACAAATGCAACGTGAAGGCGAAAGAGACCAAGGAGTCTCGCATCCCAACAATGTGAACACTTTACTTTCCTAGATTTCTCACGTAAAGGCCAGCAAAACTCTGAGCTAGCTGACTTTTTAGCAGGTCACTGGGCAACCGAGTTGACGATCTACAGTTCACTGGAAACGCCCACATCAAGGTGAGGTCGGAAAAGGAAAGTCACACACAGCTGGGATTTTTCCTTTTCCCTGTACTTAAGAGATCATAGTTGAGACCTGAAAGAAATACTGGGTGTGGCACACACCTGGGATGAAGGGGGATAGGGTAATCCAGGTAAACAGCCTTGACCCAGCATAAAGCTAGAGTATTTTCAAGGAAGTAGCAAAGAACCTGGAGCAGAATCAGGATTTCCCACATCTGAGAACCAGTTACAAATGAATTTCTAAACCCCAGACTCTGCCCCTTGAAATGAGTGTGGCATTCTTCAGCCCACTTTGCCCTAGATGCCTCAAAATAGCAGCTAACTGTGGCTCAGAGAAAGGAAAAGTACATTACATATCCCTTCCTATGTGACTGACAAGGTTCCCCTCCTTTTTGTGCGGCAACAGCTGATGACGTGCGGGGACCGGGCAAACTCCGGCTTACCAGCTGGTGGGAGTTTTATTTTGCCCTATAATCCTCATTTAAACCCTCTCACCGCAGACTCCCAAAGGCCATCGCAGCCTGCCCTAGTCTACCGCCCGCCATCCTGTTCCCATGCCAGCCCAGGAACGGCTCTTCCTCACGGTCCTCCAAGCTCTTCGCCCCCCTACAGCGTGTATTTAAGGAAGTCATCACCCCCAGCGCATCTCCTGAACATGTCTTCCATGAGAGGTGGCAAGTATAGCACCGGGAAAGAACACTTACTCAACCCTTCCCCCACTTCGGGAAACCCCAGACACCGAAAGGCTCCCCAGTCACTCTCAGATTGTCCCTCCCACCCCTTCCCCACTTCCTTCCCCTGGGTCAGTCCCAGGACATGCGCCCCCCAAGGGCTCCCCACCGGGCAGCCTCCCTCGGACCCAGCCCCTAGCACAGGTGCAGCTTCTGGTGCTGCGCCAGGTGCGTCTTGTAGCGGAAGCCTTTGCCGCAGCCCGCGCACTTGTGCGGCTTGTTGCCCGTGTGGATGCGGCGGTGCCGGATCAGGTGCGAGCTCTGGATGAAGCTCTTGCCGCACTCCAGGCACGTGTAGGGCTTCTCGCCCGTGTGCGTGCGCTGGTGCTGCGTGAGCGTGGAGAAGTCGCTGAAGCGCTTGTCGCACTGGCCGCAGCGGAAGGGCTTCTCGCCGGTGTGCACGCGCAGGTGGTTCACCAGGTGCGAGTTGCGCCCGAAGCCCTTGCCGCACTCCCGGCACACGTAGGGCCGCTCGCCCGAGTGCGTGCGCTTGTGCGTGAAGAGGTGTGAGCTGACGCTGAAGGCCTCGCCGCACTCGGAGCACATGTAGGGCTTCTCGCCCGTGTGCACGCGCTGGTGCTTCACCAGGTCCGAGCGCCAGCTGAAGCGCTTGCCGCACTCGCCGCAGCCGTGCGGCTTCTCGCCCGTGTGGATGCGCTGGTGGTTGGCCAGGTGCGAGCGGCGCACGAAGCCCTTGCCGCACTCCCCGCAGGCGAAGGGCCGCAGCGCCGCCGCCCCCGCGCCGCTGGCCGCCGCGTGCGCGCGCCGGTGGCTGAGGAGGTGCGAGCTGAGGCTGAAGGCCTCGCCGCACTCGGGGCACGGGTAGGGCTTCTCGCCCGTGTGCAGGCGCCGGTGCTTGAGCAGGTCGGCGCGCCAGCTGAAGCTCTTGCCGCAGTCGGCGCACAGGTTGGGCCGCTCGCCCGTGTGCAGGCGCAGGTGGTTGGTCAGGTAGGTGTTGCGGCTGAAGCCTTTGCCGCACTCCCCGCAGCGGAAGGGCTTTTCGCGCGGGGGCCGGGCCAGCGCGGGCCCGGCCCCGAAGCCCCCCGCCACGCCGACACCCATCATGCCCACCATCGCGCCGCACTCGCCCGCCAGGCCGAAGGGCTCCAGGCTGGCGGCGGCGGCGGCCTCCGCCAGGCGGTGAATGCGCTGGTGCTGCAGGAAGGCGGCGCCGGGGCTGAAGCTCTCCCCGCAGTCGGGGCAGATGGTGGGCGCGTCCATGATGCTGGCCACCAGGCTGTCCAGCTCCCCGAGGTCCATGGCCATGGGGTGGTGGAGCCGGTGGAAGCGTCGGTGGGCGGGCTTGTCACCTCGGTGCCGACTCCCCAGGGAGAGGTGCCGCCTCCAGGGAAGTATGGGAGGGGGCGGCTGCTGCTCTTCCTCCTCCAGCCGGTTCTCCCCAGCACTCCCGTCGTCGTCCTCGCGGAGGCGCTGGGATATGCTGTCAGACTCGAACAGTCCTGGGAACATCGCCATGTCAGCTACACCAGGTTGGTCATCTTCCCCACGGATAGAAAAGCTTTCTTCCTCACTCAGCTGCCCCCCTGCAACACAAAAAAGTGGCAGTAGAGGATTACTATACTTGGCATTCAAAAGGTAAGCCCAGAGGAAACCTCAGTAATAAAACCGTGATCCCCTGCCTCAGGCACTCTGGATCCCTGCCCCTCCAAGGTCCCCTGAGAGTCCAGCCTCTCTCTCACCTGGCTTCTCCAGGGAAAGGCCTAAAGGAGAGTTCATTCACTGCCCCCTCTGCCCACCAGTTCTTCAGGCAGCTGCCTGGGGCCGAGGCCCCACTAGCTGGACCCAAGGCACTGCCTAGCAGAGCCATCTGAAGCCCTGAGTGCCTGTGCTCAGTATGGTCAAGTCTGTACCAGGTGGGACACTCCCTGAGATCTCAGGAAAAAAGATTTACTCGCTCCAAGAGCTACCAGGGCCTTTTAAGATTCTAGTCTCAAAAGACAAGAACAGTTTGCCAACCTGAGAAAGACCACCTGGCCTAACCAGACCCTGGACTAATTTTTTTTTTTCTTTTTAGAAGCACCAGGGTCCATGAGGCATTTTATTTGTAAATATATGTATTACATCCCTAGAAAAAGAATCCCAGGATTTTCCCTCCTGTGTGTTTACGTCTTGCTTCTTCATGGTCCATGATGCCAGCGGAGGTTGTCAGTACAATGAAACCAAACTGGCGGGATGGAAGCAGATTATTCGGCCATTTTTCTAGATCTTTGAGTCGCACATCAAATCTGGGGCTGATCACACCACGCTTGTTTAGCCTGCCTGTGAGGTTCACAACAATTTTCCCAGCTCTGTGATCGTAACTGATTTCAAATTTGCCAGTGTAACCACGCTTCATCATCACAGTGAGAAACCGGATGATAACTTTGGAGCACGGCCTAATAAGCACCTGGCGTCTGCCTCTCTTTTCGGCATTGTTGATGCTCTTGAGAGCATCAGCCAGGACATTCATGCACACCATTGTGGCAGCACGGAAAGATGGCGGAAAGAGCTTTTTTTTTTTTTTTTTTTTTTTGAGAAGGAGTCTCACTTTGTCACCCAGGCTGGAGTGCAGTGGCATGATCTTGGCTCACTGCAACCTCCACCTCCCGGGTTCAAGCAATTCTTCTGCCTTAGTCTTCAGAGTAGCTGGGATTACAGGCACCCACCACCACGCCCAACTAATTTTTCTGTTTTTAGTACAGACAGGGTTTCACGATGTTGGTCAGGCTGGTCTCCATCTCCTGACCTCGTGATCCGCCCACCTCATCCTCTGAAAGTGCTGGGATTACAGGCGTGAGCCACCACGGCTGGCCTCCCTGGACTAATTTTTAAAGTACATTTGGTCAGTCTGAAACAGCTTACGTTGGAACCGAACACTGAGGCCTTCAGGACTTGACTGAGGCGGGGGGGGGGGGGGGGGAGGGGGAACGGGAACGGTAGGGAATAAAAGAGGAGATTACAGAGCCTGGAGCTGGTGAGCGCAGGTTAGAGGCTGGTCCAGGACACACACCTGTTGGTCTCTGGCTGTTTATCCACAAGCAGAGTGAAGTTTCTGAGATGTGAAAGGCCACACATGCCCTCCTCCACATGCTTGTTTGCACTGCGGAGGAGGACAGCAGGGAGTCTGGGACTGTGTCACAGGTGAAGGGATTTAACCTCTCACAGTCCTGGCTGCAAAGTATTTTAGCTCATTTCTGTCCCCAGAGCATGTGCTGAGCAGGCTAAAGTAATCAATGCCCCAAGACGGAAACGAGGAGGTGGGTGGAGGCCCAGCATTCACTCTTTCAAAGCTAGTAATAGGCATTTGGCAGAGGCCATGGGCACTTTGGGAATTAGCCACATGAACCGAGGGAGGTCACTTAGCACTGAGTTGACTTATCTGCAAAGGGACATGAGGACGTAGCTGTAAACATCTGGATACTTCCTGTTTGCACAGTACTGTGCTTAGTAACTACATGCAGCAACTCATTTAACTCTCCCAATAGCCCTATGAGGTAGGTTCTAATACTACCTGGGTAATTCTGTAGTGTCGTTCCAGGGGTTAATATATAGTGGCATTCTCTCTAAAGTGCTGCGTCAGTGTGTGAGCCTCTTCACCATGCTTAACAACCCCAGAGACATGCCAGCCCCTCTAATTTTGGCAGACACATCACTTGACTCTTTCTGAGACATAATAATGCACTCCTTAAATTAGAGGGAAAATCAAGCCCTTTCCTTTACTGTCTTAGAATATGGCTGTGTCTGAGGTTGGTCAGTCATAGGCCCTGAAATGCAGAAGAATTCCTTTAGAATGTATACTATTTAAAACGCCAGGTTTCCAATAACTCACCCCAGACTGGGCTGAAGAAAAGGACACTCCTCAGGCTAACACTAGAAAGACAAGTCAGTACAGAATTCTGCCTAATGGTCCCCTTTAGGGAGCTCTCTTACAGAGGATGCTGCCCTGGTTATGATTCTGGAGGAGCTTAGAAGTGAGTGTGAATGAGGCAACTTGCATAGAATCCCAGCTTCTCCTCACCTGTGCAGGTGTCATGCTCTGCTTCCCTGTGCCTTGAGTCCTGTGGGTTGGGGGCCATCTCCAGCTCCAGGTGGCCTTCTCTCTTGTGTGTGTCCTGTGGATTACAGCCCATTTCTCTTTTTTCTGGGTCCCCTTCCATGTCCTCAGAGTCCTCAAAATCGGAACCCATCCCTTTGTCTTCTGAGTCCTGGTGTGCACAGACACCCTGATTTTCTTCTTGTTTCATCCAGGAAGAAAAGGACAAAGGAGGTGACCAGGAATCCCTGCTCCAGAAAAACATAAAGAAAGGTCCTGTCAGTCTGGCCTCCTCCCCTCACCGTGTCTAGCCTTAATTTCCAAGTCTGATAAAATGTATAGAATTCCAAGCCCCAGTTGGCAAAACTCCACTCTACATTTTAAGGTAAACAAGTGAGCGCAAAGGAGGGTGGACTGGGTGGCAGAAGAACAGTGACAGCCTCACTCTGAGACCACATGCCAACTCTCACTGGACCAAATCTTCATCTTCTGGCTTTGATGTGGATGTCTATTAGTGTGGTTTTAGAGTTTACCAGTGAAGCAGCTATGCCCATTTTTACAGCTGAGAAAACTCAAAACTCAAAGAGGCCCCTAATCCAAGGCTACATAACTTATAAGCAGCAGAGTGGGGATGAAGCAATTGTGCTGCCTCAAACTTCCATGCCTTTCATAACTCTTAAGAAGCTCACTCTCCTCCAAGCTGCAGCAACTTTGCAAGTATTTTGGCTAATTTAAGGAGCCAGAGGAAAAGTACATCGAGACACAAGAATAACAGAAGCATCAAGTATAGTAACCTCTTGTCTAAGACCATGTCACCAATGGCACTATCAACTGGGCTTTGTAGTAAGGATCTGCGTTGCGGGAAGGAGTGAGCCAAGATGATTCAAGTAGGTCTGGTGAGGCCAGGAAGAGGTGCAGGG